TAAACTCCTTCTTTCCAAGACAGACCTTACCATTTAAGTTGCGTCTGAGCTTGGCTTCCTTCTCTCCATCTTCATCCAGACCTTCAGCCTTCAGTTTTTTCCAGCTCAACTCATCCTTTTCTTGTATTTTTAGATCACTATGCAACTCTGCCAGTTTCACAGCAGAGAGATGCAGCTAACAAGAACAGACAAAGGTTTGTATTTAGTTACTTGGAGTCCCCTTTTGTTTCAGAGTTACAGAAAACTACCTTCAGAAACCAGAACAGATGCAGAACAACCAGTATGGCACAGCAATTCCTCTCAAACAACATGCCATTGCAACCACATGTGCTTTCTTGTGGACCATCTTCCAACCATACAGTTATAATGAGTTGAAAAACTTTATTGGTTAGTACAGTTTTTCAGTCTACCAGGTTACTGAGGATGGCCATGCAGATGAAAGAGCCACTTCAACAGCAATTTTTACTATGATCAAGATGAAAAAAAATCTCAGATAATTTCTTTGCATGGTTTATGTGCATTAAAACATACAAAACCTAAAGGTATTCCTGTCTGACATACTAGGAAAAAAAAGGTAAGACATTGAGGCTGAAGATAGGAAAAAAGAAATAGTTTAAGTGAATGCTAGGTCAGCTTGAAATTTTGTGAGCTTCAGAGAAAACAGCAACAATGACTAATCTGTCACAGCAGCACTGCTGTGAGTTGATCCTGAACTTCCAGATTTTAGACACCTCAGTTATTCAGTTTAAAACAAAGAAATGTAACAAACTATCTTAACACTTCAGAACTACGTTTGTCTGTGTCTACATGCACGCCAACAAACAGAAGTTGAGGTGAGAAGCCCAGAGAAGAGAGGAGATAAAACCAGCCTTAAACTACCCGGGCTTGTCAGTCCTAGGACAAGTTTATCTATTGAAGGTTTCTTTTAATCATTAAACAGATTATAAAAATGCTCATTTTCAGTGAGGAAGGATATTTAATGAACACAGACTCAGAACCCAGTATTGTTTTTAAACATCAGAATGATGCTGAAAAGATTCAGCTGCTCCTTTGTGTGCCAGCAGGTTATTTTAAAGTAACTAGGAAAACTGTCATTACTTTGAGCTAATGCACTTCCTATTGACAGGAATTCAGGAAACTATCCACATCATTGTTTATGCTTCCATCATAAGCTGTCCTATTAATTAACCTTGTGCCACTGCATATAATTATTTTGATTTTTAAACTATTATTTTCTCTGCATTTTGTACTTGGCTTATTGAAATTACTAAAACCTAGAGTAGTTAGAATCACAGTTAAATAGAATACTTATAAAACACAATAAACCTTCAGATCCCTCTAATACTAAAGCAAAGGAGTGTCTCTGTTGCCTTCTTTACCATCTACTTTTGGGGAACTGCTTTATAGAAACAAAGCACTTAGAAGGAACCACTTTATTTATGGTTCTTAGTATGTGCTAAAGTAAAAGAAAAACCTTAATTATGTATTTATTTGCTTTTCTGGTACAGGATTACCTAGACAGCCCAAGGTCACTACTGCAGTGGCACCAAGTATCAACATTTTTCCTCAGCAAGAATCGTGCTCTAAAGCTTCAAGACTGAGTGAAAGGTTTGCCACAAATTGTGAAGGGAATGGCCAAGCATTTTGGTAGTCATGTAATATAGCATTCAAGTAGTGTGGACATCATGTAGTTGGGTTGAGGAAATACAGGAATAAATAGCCAAGCATAATTAGATAAGTAATTTAGCTCATAAGTACTGCAGATACAGTAAAATCTTTTATATGTGACCTTGTCATCAGAAACCCACTATTGTATAAAAGACTACACAGTGCAATTTCTGTTAGAGTCCCTCTGCAGTTAGTGCAAACCCATAAACATGTACAGCTTCCTGTTTTCTAAAAGTTATAGAAAAGAATACCAGAACTTCTAACCAGGAAGTTTAGAGACATCATCAATCAAACATGTTAAAGTCTTAATAAAAACTAAGAAACTACATTAAGCCCATTGTCCCTTAAGAGAAAACAAGATTCTGTTCAAATATCTCCCAATTAGAGCAGTATGTTTCTAATTCTCATTATAATTTAGTATGAAACCGAAGTAACTCTCCTTGTAAGCATTATAAATCCTTTGAAACCTTTTGGAAGCTCCTTGCCTGCCCCATTTATGTCATACAGAGTGAACACATCAGTTAAAGTATTCAGTTCAAAAACTACTTCCTTTCACTTTATCCCATGTTGGACCCTGACTACACCAGGTAAAAAATATCAACGGTCAACTCCTCATCACTTTACTAACATCACTCACATGCTGGAATAACTAACTAGAAGCAGAGGTGAAAAGTTAAGTTTAATGATTAAATAACCAAGCAACAAGCTCCTTAAACTCATTCCTTATGCTGCCTGGACATTAACATCCAACATAGGTACCTGGCAATTCTGAGAATAAATGCTGGAAATTTGTCAAACATTACAATTACATCATTTGCTGTTGGGCTGGCTGCTATCATTACCTGCTACATCCTTACCTACACTCGTGCCTCCAAAAGGAAAGAGCTCTTTACTACAAATTTATTATGGAAGTATTTCAAAGCAGATGTAACACAAAGGCATAGTTTTCCTCTTATTTCATATATTGCCCAGACATACTGAAAAATCAGTTTATAAAACACACACTGGTTGACAATTGTACTCAAAGTGAAATTTAGATGTTGGCAAATTTAGTTCAAGTAGGTTTTGCATCTCTAATCTATCCCACACATATAGAATTTACTAAGCCTTAGTTTTTTACTGGCAGATAATCCATTTTATATTTTAGTATCTTAACAAAGATGATGAAAAGCACCTCAAATTTTAATTCCAGAAGAGCCAGGTATGAACATGAGAAAAGACTGTAATTGTAAAGGTGAGAGGTAACTGACATTACTATTACTATAGATTATCTCTAGTCCCAGTGCTGTTTCTTTTTCAGCTGTCAGTTCATCAGCTGGAGTTTCATTAACACACGCTTTCCTATGCCCTATTCCATCCTTCTCCCATCGAGGAAAGGGTATTTTTGATACCTTCCTCTAGCACACTGGGAGGCAGCACTATGGCAGAATTCTAGTTTTTGGCTGAATCCAAGGATGCCCTACCTCCAATTCAATAGCTCAGGCTATCCAGGATACAGAAGATCTAAAATTAATATTAACTGTATTTCTTTGCCTGAAAGAACTGAATCATTGCTGGTCACGACCTTAATTCCCATGATCCGCAATATTCAAGGGATATGTACAGCGCATACTTCTCCTCCTGTTGGAGCTGTTCTTTTTAGTTCTAAGTAAATATTCTCACTGTAATGAAATAATTTGATTTTATTTTCACTTTAAATATTTTTTGTAGTCCAGTGTGAAAGAAACTCAAGAATCAGTGTCAAAATCAAGGCTCTCATCTGGGAATGGTGATACCCATTTGCTGGTCCTCTTGCATTTGTCTACAGCACTTGATGGGAATGTAGCTGACAGAACCGCCAGGGTGGAGGGGCTTCTCCTGCAGTGAACTTCTGGAACCGAGGCCAGCGCCCTCACCCACATGAGGGTCCTGTTCAGGATCGCAGTCCTGAACACGGCTGAAACATTCAACCAGCGAGCGCTGGAGCCAGCCGCAGATCCTCTATGGCACCAGAGGGGCTTCCCCTCTCTCCCGCTTCCTGGCTATGTGGATTAGGTGCTGTATATAAACACGGGCAGGCCAGCACTTCCCAGGACTCAGCTACACGTCCCCGGGCCCGGGAGAAGGCTGCTCCCCGCCGCCGGGACAGCGCCGGGCGCGGGGCTGAGCGCAGCCCTCGCTGCGCCACGGTCGGGACAGCCGTGCCCGAAAACAGAACAA